GTGCTAGGATTACAGGCGTGAGCCACCACGCCCGGCCGAAAATTAACTTTTGAGAATGACCTTATTTTTTGTTAATTATAAATTAATTAGAAATTATTGCCATTTGATTCTCCATTTCATATTTACATTTTTATTTATTAGCACTAAGATACTATCACATGGGTGCTCACATAAATTATTTCTGGTTCCCTTTGAATTTCAGAAGTTGCCACTATCTGGGGGAATGTGTCAGAATTTGTGGAACGGCAGCTAACCCTGCACAAGGTAGGACTTATACTTTAATTTTAATGTATGGGTCCAAAGGGTTGTTCCTCCATGTCTGGTATAATTTTTCTGGAAGCAGAGCTGTAGACTTTAAAGCCACCCAATTTAAGCTTCAGTCCTGTGATTTAGGACTTGTGGGTAGTAGATTTAACAAATGTGGATTTCATTCTTAGGTGATTAAGTTGTCAGTTCTGCTCTTCTAGTGATGGAGAGTGTAGTGCTGATTGGCCTGGGTTTGTGTAAAGAAACTCAGTGAGTTCTGTCTGTCTGTGATCTGATAGTTCCTGGCATAGCTGTACAAGATATCCTGCTGCTTGTCTTGCTTCCTTGCAGGGAATGGATGTTAACTGAAGTTTACCAGGACAGGAACCAAACTCAACCTGCCAAAAATGAGAAACTTTGTCCAGGGCTGGAGTACTTTCTCCTGTCAAGTCTTAGGTTTAAATGCCATAGAATTGGATGGGGATTTTGTGAGGAGCTTTAGGGGAGCTGTGAGAGTGTGAAACATCCTACTCAGCACTATGAGAGCCCTTTGGTGGAATTCATTCTTCAAACTTATTTTGTTTGGTTTGAGAATTTGAATTAATTATCATCACTTAAAATTTGGAGAGTTTATATCAAGTTTTGGATTTTTTTTCTCCTTTTTCTTGAAAAGTCAGTAGATCTAACAATGCCAGTCTTCTATTCCTGCATGGTGACACTTGGCTGGAGCTCACAATGGGCTCTCCCCTGTAGATCAAGCATGCACTATCCAGCCACTATGCTCTCTGGTTGGCTACCTTCATTTCCTTGCATTCTTTCTTGGCTCCTGTAGGTGTTTGAGTTTGTAGCCCTTGGTGTATGATATCTCCAGAGAGACAGAAACCCAATTTGAGAGCCAATGACATTTGCTTCTATCCATCAGCCAACATCACTACATTGTAGCATATGCCTTGGATGCTGGGTTGTCTGATTCTAAGTGGCAGACATAAAATCAAAAAGAGGGAATGAACAAGCAAAGTTTCTCATGCCCTCTTAAGTTCCACCAATGGCAAGTGATTAAAATTTAAAACATAATTTAGGACAAAGTAATCTTAGATTAAAAGAAGCTATGGCATTCATGCACATTTTCTTGCCTTTTAATGATATGGAGAGGAAGGATCTGATGTCTATAAATCATTATGGATCAATATATTACATGTTATACTAAATTTGTTTGAAAACTTAGAATTATAAAATGTTATACCTATATGTGGTTGTAAAGATCATTGCACTTTTACAGTTGGGGCGTACAAGCCTCCACTGGCTCCATCCTCTCCCTCCCTGAGATGCCTAGAAAAATCTCTGGGGTGCCACTAGTGTGAAGCTCCATGAGACCAGGGAGTTCTGTTTGTTTTCATCCCCGATGAATCCCCAGTGTTTGGTAGAGTACCCGGCGCATGGTGAGCCCTCAGTATTTTGCAGAACGAATGAATACTTCTTAACATGACTGTTGTGGGGTGAGTTTCCTCAGGATCACTCAGGGAGCATGTCACACCACAGAGCCCCTGGGATTATGTGCACCGTGGGCCTCTCCACAGTCTTGTAACTATTGGTAGAAACAAATAAACTCATGGCTTATTTAAAAAAACAAACAAACAAAAAAAACCCCAAGAATTGTATAATGCAGGCAGAGGGAAATGGGAGAAAGTTCTTGCATTAAAAAACCTAAGCCTTTTTTGGGAGGGGGATGTAGGGTAAACTGAAAAGGAATTTAATCTCAGCTTTCTCACATATTTAGTGAAAAGGGCACTGCTATGGATTATGTTAACTTCTATGAAAGAAAGTGAGCATATTAGATCATTAGGACAAAGAAAGAGAAACTTTATGCTGGGACTAAATCCTGAGAGCAATTTATTTTGTGACTCTTAATTAATGATCTTTTTTTTTTTTTATTGCAGCATCTTATGGGGGTACAGATGTTTAGGTTACGTATGTTGCCCTTTCCCCACCGCCCCAAGTCTGAGTTTCAAATATGTCCATCCTTCGGGTGGTGCGCATTGCACTCTTTCTGTATGCATATACCCGTCCCCTCCTCCCTCCTCCCGCCTCCCCCTGCCCCTCCCCACTGCCCAACATCCAATAGATGTTATTCTTAGATGTGCATTTATGT